ACCTATGTATAAGTCATTATCGATTGTTTATGACGTCCTTACTTTTTTAAAGAAAAAAAAATGTTAGGACTAAATATTATAAATACTTAGTGAGCAATCCACCGTTGGAATCAGAAAATACAAACACATGCAAACATAAATCATGTTGCTCGTATCACTTTTGTACACATGTAACATAGGAGACTCGTACGACTTTTATAATTTTTGGGTCTTGTTGGGCATGCACCACTTTCGTATATAAGTAGTATCACTTCATGTGCATTGACCCTACTTTAGATGTTTTAATGTCGGTGGGGACTCAAAAGAGTTGCAAAAAGAAAAGAACATGAAATGTATCATTTTTTTTTTTTTCCTTTTTAGTTTCATGTCTACAAGAATTACACACGTAGGATCCTACATGTACAAAACACTAAATCGAGCTTAAATGGAAGAAAATTGACTCGAACAAGACTCAAATGGTGTTGAGGCTGTATGACGAGACAAAACTGTAGGGAACTGATCAAAAAATTCCTTCAACGGATCAAAGTTTCTTTGATTGTTGACTGTTGATCAATATCCATTGACTATTGATAGAATCGATTTGATTGAACCCAAAACAGAATTGACCAATCCTATGATATCTCACATCGGTTGGGGAGGAGAACAGAACGATTGTGATATCCCACATCGGTTGGGGAGGAGAACGAAACACCCTTTATAAAGGTGTGAAAACATTTCCCTATCAGACGCGTTTTAAAAATCTTGAGGGGAAGCTCGAAAGGAAAAACCAAAGAGGACAATATCTGCTAGTGGTAACAAATGGTATCAGAGTTAGACACTAGGCGATGTGCCAGCGAGGAGGATGTTCCCCAACGGGGAGTAGACACAAGGCGGCCCCAAAGGGGAGTGGATTTCATGTGAGTCCCACATCGTGGAGAAAGGAACGAGTGTCAGCGAGAACGCTGGCCCCTGAAGGGAGGTGAATTATGATATCTCACATCGGTCAAGGAGGAGAACGAAACATCCTTTACAAAGAACCTTAAGGGGAAGCTCGAAAGGAAAAACTCCAAGAGGACAATATCTGTTAGCGGTGAACTTGGGCCATTACAAAACCGATCGAATCAAATCGGTTCAAGCTGAGCCATTTCTTCAACTTCTAAGCCCCCCCGCATGGCTACTCCTTCGAGTTTTTCTACGAGATCGCTTGCAACCGCTGCATGGGAGCTCCAAAGAAGAAACACAAGGTCAAACCAACACTGAAACACAATGGTTTGATTTTGATGAAAACAAAAACGTTTCCTTAAAAATTAATGGAAAAAAAGAACATAGCAATAAGTTTGTTTTATCCAACATGTATCAGAAATGGAACAATTAATACTGTAATTTCAGCATTGACATGAACGTCTACCACACGGGCATTAATTAAATTACTATAAATACCCTTTATCCTTTCCTTTTTTTTTTTCTTTTTTAAATAAATCAAAACCATTGATCTCTATTAAATAAATAATTGAAAAAATAAAACTAAGCTATATGACCGTTGAGAATCTGACCTGTTGAAGTGGACCAATATGTGTTAGCTGAGATCATCACCTAATATCTTGTTAGGTACCACGGATTTTCACAATAGTATCATATTTGTTCACTTTAAGCATAAGCTCTCGTGACTTTGTTTTGGGGTTTCCTTCATACCAATGAGATAGTATTCCACCCATGATCATTTCTTAAATTAGTCGACGTGGAACTTTCATCCAACATATCTAACCAAAAAAGGGAAATTTCAATTATAATAATATAAAATCGTAACAGTCTAAGCTCACCGCTAGCAGATATTGTCTTTTCTGGGTCTTCCCTTTCGAACTTCCTTTCAAGGTTTTTAAAACGCATCTACCAGGGAGAGGTTTCTACACCCATATAAAGAATGTTTCGTTTCCATTATAAGCCCTTATAAAGATGTCACGTGGGGGAAGGGAAACAAAACATTCTTTATAAAGGTGTGGAAAACTCTTCCTAGCAGACGTGTTTTAAAAACTTTGAGAAGAAGCTAGAGAGTGAAAGTTCAAAAAGGATAATATTTGCTAGCGGTAGGCTTGGGCCGAAAAAAGACGATGAAATAATCACCGGATTCCAGTAGTGTCTGTCCTCCAATCATAGTACCGCTCATGAAAATGATCAAAGCTTCATTTTGAAGCCTACAAATAGGAAAAAAGTGAAGTTCAAGAGATTCAGAACGAAGTGTTGTAATCCGACATGTCAGCTGCTTAATAAAGGAGCTCCTAATAACTTACTGAATGAAGTGGCTTCTGACAGAACTGGCTTCTGACAGCTGAAGAGAAACAGGGCAATGATCCGTAGAACCCTACATGAATGCAAGATTAGTATTGATGTTAAAGACATATATCATCACTATAGGTTTGAATCTTGAATTCTGCCCTTGGGCATACGGCCTAACCAGCCTTCCCTTTTCGCTGGAACTTTATGGGCGTTGCTCCGTTTTCCACTAGATGAGAGCTATACTCCGCAAGGAGCCAAATGGGCGTATGGTCTTGTCATTTGACCTCTCTTCTCGTGTGACTAGAAATGCTCAATGACAACCTCTCAATTGTCACCGCCCGGCCTCTCTTGCTACCCACAATTAAACCGTAAGTTTAAACAACTTATCCATGTATTCAAAGAAAATTATTCAATTTCTTAACCAAATCAATGAATCCTTGTATATTTGTGAGATCTCATCTTGGTTGGAAAAGAGAACGAAGCATTCTTTATAAGGGTGTGAAAACTTCTCCCTAGTGAATGCGTTTTAAAATCATGAGCCTGCTGGCGATATGTAATGGGTTAAAACGTACAACATCTGCTAGGAGCGGACTTGAGCTGTTACAAATGGTATCAAAGTCGGTTACTAGACGGTGCAAGACACTAGTCGACATAGGGCTAGACCTTTTCATAGTAAACATGTTTTTAAGACCTTAGAGTGAAGCTCGGAAGGAAAGGATAATTTTGATAGTTCCATGTTTCCACTGCAACATAAGTTCAACAGAGTAGTGTTTACTTGGTATGAGTATCAATAGGATTGGTGCCTTTCTCAAGGTATGAACTCCTTGTACTAACTATCTACCAATGCTAAAATGGTATAACTAGCCACCAACATAGGTTCAAGTGAGCAATTCTTATACCTTCGAAGATGAGCAATTCCAAGGTTTGGGTTATGAGATTTCCCTCAAAATTTTAAGGAATGCTCCGTGGTTTCTCTTGGTGGTTCCCTTTCTTAGACCGATGTGAGATATCACGATTCACTTCCATTGAAAAACACCTCAAATACTATTTGTAACAATTCAAGCTCACTGCTAACTATGGAGAGATTTTCACGAGTTGATCGAAGAATGTTTTGTTCTTTCTCCAACCTAAACCTCTATTCAGTAGACGTGTTTCAAAATCTCACGCTTCACACCTCTCTAATACAGAAATCATATCCTAAAAGGTACGCAAAGCAATCAATGACAAGAAGGATCAGCAACTTCTTCAACAGTATATTCCGCGAGTTAAATAAGACAAAGCTGATAAAAAAACACCTAAACTACTCGCGATCATGAAACAAGAAACAAACCGCTCCGCGGTTTTCCAGAAAATTTTCTAAATAGGATTAAACATTAGAGAGAGTGCGAAAAAGAAAGTGACCTAGAGATAGTCGAAGCTGAAACGTGAACGGAACTGTCTTCGTCCATTTCTGGAGGATCAACGTTGAGGTCGGCAAGAACGATGAGTGGGAACTGTCCGAAGCTCCACTGTCTTGAGACGCATTTCGAGAGCACCTGGAGCTTTTCCGCGCCAAAAGACTTCGTGTTCGCGTATTAGAATGAAAGAAGAAGACCCTTGTTTGGTCATGCGGATTTCCTAGTCGCTGGTTGGATACGTAAATATATTGCATCGAATTAGGTTCTTAAATGCTAATTATTATTATTTATGTCAATTTTTATATTGAATACTACATTGGTATGAGGGGAGGTTCAAAGTATTCTACATAATTTTAAATATTTTTTTTCCTCTGCGTAGGAGATTACAACCAAATCAAACTCATCTCAATCACATAGACACCAATTTCGGAAGAATCCAAAATTTGATGGGTACTATGATCATTACATGATACTCATGAAAAACTTTTTGCGTTCAAAAGAGTACTGAAATTTGGTAGAGAATGGGACTTCTCCAGCAACAGAAATTTGGTAGAGAATGGGACTTCTCCAGCAACAGAAGACATCATTTCCATTGATTTCTGCAGCAACAGAAAACATCGTTTCTATGGATTTCTGCAGCAACAGAAAACATCGTCTCCATGGGATTTCTGCAACAACAGAAGACATCGTTTCCATGGGATTTCTGCAGCAACAGAAGACATCGTTTCCATGGGATTTCTGCAGAGCAACAGAAGACATCGTCTCCACAAATTCCCTGAAGAAGCAGATCGTTTCCACAAATTCCCAGAAGAAGCAGCAACAAAAGAAAGACATCATTTCCACAAATGCCCGGAAGAAGCGAAGATCAAAAGTTGGAAAAATTCGTTCGATCTCGGAGACAATCCTCAACAAGGATACAACAAAGAACATATGGGATTCTATAAACATACAAGGATACCGGAAGCCCTTTAGAAGGAGTTTGAAATGTTTCACAATGAGTATTTTGCTCGAACCCTTAGCATAGCCAACAAGATGAAAATAAATATATCTTTAGAGTTTTTCTCGTTCCTAACATTCCCAAGCCAAGGGGAAAACGTCTCGAACAAACATGGAAGAGAAGCTTCCCAGCCGAGCCAGTGAAAAATCCAACCCAAACTCAAGGGAAAATCGTCTCATCCATATATATTGTCGATCCCGAGGAAATCGAACCAGAAAATATAATGAGCAACAAAGGTTGATGGCCCCATAATACCACAAAAAGCTCTTAAACTCAGACATCTAATGAAGGAAATAAAAAGAAAATTAGTAGTAATTAGTGAGGGAGTACTGTCCACCAACAACCCTTTCATGTTGTGCGAAGCAGCAGAGCAGAGCAGAGCATTATGAAATATAAAAGGGATCCATCCATCCTGTCTAAACAACATGAGATATCACGACATTTGGCCTAAAATTCTGAACAAGAAAAAGAAACAGAAACCGAGCTTTTTATACAATGGCAGGGGGATCATATCATCTCCTTATCATAAGACCACCGCTAAAGTAATAAAACAACCATCATCATCAGGAGGAAGAAGGAAGAAGGAAGCAAAACACCCATCATACCTACTCTTCTACTTACTACTAACTACTACCTTGAGATGAGAGGGGAGCCACCAAGCAGGCCACAAGCTCGCTCGCTCGCTCACTCCTGGCGCCTCCTCGACACGATGCAGAGAGATGTAACAGCCAACAACATGCTTGAGATAAACAATCTAAAACTCTGTTTTTTCTCCCCCTCAGGAAGCTACAGCCAAGAGCACGGAGGAATCTGCAGCAGCAGCAGCAGAAGCTGATCCGAACGATGGTAACAGCCATCCCTTCTTCTGGGCATGCTCCACGTAGAGAGTAAACTTCTTGCCTGCATTTGGAATGTCGAGTGCCAGGTCGTCGAGGCTTTCTTTGATCCTACAGAAGCCTTTAGTCATCTGGTTGATGGTGATCAGGCCAACATTGAAGCATTCCTGCAGCAGATCTAGAATCCTGTCGTTCTTCTTCTCCATTGCCATGACCAATGCCTTCTTCACAACCTCGTGGTTGAAGAAAGGCATTCCCAGATCACGGATACACTGGCAAGCTTCACTCACGACTCCTCCACTTTCGTACTCCTCCAAGAGCTTCTGGATCTTGTCCTTTGCGTCCTCCACTGCCCAGCCCGTTCCTCCACCCCAGCATCTCAAAAGCCTTTCACCAGCATGACGAGCTGCAATTAATGACCGAGCCATTCGCACTGTCTCACTTCCAGTGCAATTTGGGGGCAACCTGTTAGCAATATCCTCGAGATTCAGAGGAGCCAAGACATCGTCAATCACCGCTCTGGCTAGAAAGAGAGCAAGCTCATTTGATGCATCCAAAATGTCCAGCGCTGTATCTTCGGCAGACTCCAGCAGCATCACAAAACCATTGACAATATCCTCTGTAGAGAATATCTCAATGTGAAGAGCTGAAAGCAGGACTGAAGCCATTTCTTTTTCTCTGTTTTTCCTATCCATTGCAAGTGTAATCAGTCTCTTCAAAAAGATTGGATTATACTCGGGTGTACCGAGATCTTCTAGGCTTCGTAATAATTCAGGAATGTCATCCGAAAGAAAATATTCATGAATTATAGTCACAGCCTCTTCCTTATAGCGTCTCAGCTTATCATCTTTAGATCCAACATCCACATCTTCATCTGAAGATTTCACAAAGGAAGCATCAAGCCATCCTTCAGATATGGCCCTTGGAATCAAGGATTCGAACAAAGATTTCGCCGATGGAATATCAAGAGCAAGGTCATCAAGGCTCTCTGCCAGCCGAGAAAACCCCTTAACCATTTGACTAGAGCTTATCAGACCTTCCTCAGCAGCTTCCTTCAGAAGCTTCAGTATCAGGGGTTCTGCTGTTCGGATCTCCATGGCAAGAGTCAAAGCCCTCTTCACAACCTCGTGATGGAAGAATGAAACACCTAACTGCCTTATGCATCTGCAAGCCTCAGAAGTATCTCCACTCTCAACATATTCCCGTAAGAGATAAGCAATCTTTTTCTTCACTTCCTCTACTGTAAAATGTGTGCTGCCCCCCCATCTTTTCTCGACAAGTTCCGCATGATGTGGAGCAGAGAGATAGCTCTTCTCAGCAGTTTGGATAGCCTGACTTCCTTTGGATGATTCCAGCAATGCTTTCTTTGCCCTGGCTAAAAATGCTGGGGGAAGTATATCATCAACCACAGCACGAGCTAAGAACAAAGCAAGGATATCAACTGCATCTAATATATCCACAGCAAGATCATCAGCCGATTCAAGTAGCATAAAAAACCCATCCCTTATATGGGCAGGACTGATGACATCAGCATACAAAGCAGAAAGCAGAACTGAAGCCATTTCCTTCTCCTTATCATGTCTGTCCATTGCCATTGATACTAGCCGTTTAATAAAGTAAGGATGATATTCACTTGAGCCTAAATCTCCAAGATCAGATGCCGCCAATTCCACGTCACCAGTACTAAAGTATTCCTCTATAATGGATACAACAGATTTCTTATAATCATCCAAAGGATCTGATACAGTCGACCCAATAAGTTGGTATGGTTCCTATTAAAGAGAAAATTTCAAAGACAGAATAAATACTCAGATTTGGAAATCACAAGTTTCTATCATCAAACCTCAAACCTATATTTGGGAATGCTATCTCCTCGGAGACTTAGGTTCATAACAGTACAAACATCGCTTGATTGGACAATCATAAAAAAGAACAGAAAATCAAAATCCAACTCAATATTGAAATTACCTCGCCACTGTCATAATTAGGATCATTTCTGTCAATATGAGAATCACCATCAGTGTCGAGTAATTTACCCCAGGTGCCCTTTCCACCAGCCCCATCTGTCACCAACAGTATACATACTAGTGGTTAGAAGCATATGAACAGGAAAAACTGCTTAAACGACACCTAACAATATAGATTTTATCATGTATAGTCAAATAAGGTAGGACTTTCAAACTATTGGAATATTGATTGTAGAAACTAGAAATCAAAATGTACACTGCGAGATGGCCAAGTAGAAAAGGGTGTCGAGAGATTTCACAGGCAATTCTAAAAATACATTAAAATCATGTAGTTAAAAGAGCACCGCCTGGATACAAATTTCACGCGTATAAACTGAAATTCTAGAGGTGGGGAAGTAGGCCTAAGAGAAATTCTGAACACAGAAATATAATCATAGATATTAACTACTGAACGCATAAATATGATAATAACATAAGATTTATCAGAACCTGGTGCAGTTAAAAGATCGTATCATTCAGAACAGCAAACGATCTTCTATTAGTCAACATCTAGTATTAATTCAAAGAGTCTATAAATAGTCTGAGTTCTTTGCTTGCTGTTTATGAAGCGTTCAAATAGAACACATTAAATTTTCAGATACTCTCTAACTAATAACATCATTCAAAAGAGACACTTCCATTCTCTTCAAATTTGCGTTGCTCGCAACAAAATCAGTAATACAATGATGACAGATGAACTCACCCTTTTTCACCCTAATATGCTTCCCAGAGTGTTGTCTACGCACATGTTTCACTCCCATTCCAGGGGCCGGTACCTTCCCGCCAGCAGGGGCTTTAATATGATATTCAGGAAGTAGTGAGCCTTTGGGAGATTTCGGAGAGGATGACAAAACATCCACATTCTGACTCGCTATTTTCATCACTTCCCGCTGCTCCTCAGTCAGGAATCCTTCATTCGATGCCATTTATGCTGGAGATACCTGCGTGTAAATTATAAGTCAGAGAGGGAAAAGGCACATACAGACAGCAAAAATTGATAAATAAAGCCGATACATAAAAAAACATGCATTTATGAATATGGCTGCAGATTTAAACCTATCTATAAAACAAAATCTACCCAGATACTATAGTATAGTAAACAAAATTACAATACAGGAAACATACATCTATAATAAAATCCATAACATAGAAGGAAAAAAAGCGCACACAGAACACATAAATTGAAAAATAAATTCCATAGCTAAAACTTGCATTAATTAAACTGGCAGCAGATTTAACATCTATCTCATGCTAAAAATAAAAATACATCCTACCCAGGAGATTCAATACGGTAACCAAAAGAACGACTTAATCCAAGTATAAATCCATTAAATAAAAAAAAAAAATCAATCAGAAAAGGGGCAAAATGAAGCAACAGAAATATGCGCCCGCAAGACCGCGTCCACATACTCCAACAAATATGAAAGGCTCTTACACAACATCTTGAAATTAAACCTCAGATAACTCGGAAATGGAAGACAGACAGACAAAAATCTAATACCTAAACTAAACCTTCACTTCCTCAAGTTCAATAAATCCTTCGAGAGAAAAAACCAACAATCAATCACTCCACACTCCATTTCTTCGATTTCCTCCACAACAAATAAAAAATAAAATAAAAAGCAGTCAACATCAAAACACAAGGGAGAGAAAGAGAGAACCTATCGGCGAGCACTGATAGAAGCAAGCAATGAACCGAAAGAAAACACTTGGAGGAGTGGTATTCTTCTGTGCTTGGCCCGGATCTCGAGCCAAGACAGGAGAGACGATTCGGATCTCCAAATCACAGCACCAGCGAAGGAAAAACAAAAAAGAAAGTGAAAAATTACAATGGAATGCGAAACGAAACAAAAATCGGAGGAAAGGATGAAAAACCCTAGATCAGAAAAGCGGCGGTTTATCGGACCCCGATCCGAATTTGTCTGGTTCTTGTTGCCGGTTGAGAGAATGAAAAAACAAAAATTGGGGGATGAGGGCAAATAAAAAAGGGGGCGAAAGAGGGGTATTTATATGGAGGCTCCGGCTAGAAGTACACGTCATCAAGGGAAGGGGTTTGGGTTTATCCTTGTGTGAGGGTGTCCACGTGGCGTCCTTGCTGTTTTCTCTTCCCCGTATTTTGCTTCCACTCGCCTCCGTGCTAACCGGTCCAGTCTCCGCAGATAATATTAAGCTCCTCCTTGTTTATTTATTTATTTATTTATTTATTTTTTATTATTATTATTTCTTAATATTATTTATTATAATTTCTTAATTTTAATTAATATAATTTATGGCTCAACCTTTTCAACTCCCCCTCCCTCTATTTAATTTATTTTTTATTTAATTTAATTTAATAAAAAAAAATACTGAAAATCACCCGGCATTATTGAACCAGACAAAATACCAATTAATAAAATTTAAAAAACCGAGCACGAGCACGATTAATAAAATTTAAAAAACCGAGCACGAGCACGAAAAATTGGACGTTGAACTACATAAATAGACTGAATATTAAAGTCAACTTTGTATCAACGTTGTCGTGTGTGAAATTTAATTTGTTGTCGTTATTCTTTTTATAAAATTTTAAGTTGAATTATTAAAAAAATCATGATAGGAGTATTAACATAAATAAAGAGTAATTCCTCGTAAATTTTGGAAACATATTTATAAGGGTGTATTTTACTATATGAAAAATATTGTTATTATTTAACCTTTTAAGATTTATTATAAAATAATACTTAACATGGGCCCATCTCCCGAACTCTTGGATAAAGGCTGGGCCCATCTCCCACACTTTGGGCCTCATGGGCCTATATTATGAATCAGAGATGGGCCACTCATGCATCAAAAGCCCAAATGGGATATCTGTCTCCATCAAAAGCTTCAACGGGATAAAGGCTGGGCCCATCTCCCATACTTTGGGCCTACTCGGCCCATATTATGGATCAGAGATGGGCCATTCATGCATCAAAAGCCCAAATGGGATATCTGTCTCCATCAAAAGCTTCAAGTCGTGTCTTTCCTGTTCTCTGTAGCAAGTTTTACATTCAAAATTGCCAAGTTTCTGGGATAACTTCACATCCGGTACCGTGCCCTCCCCGACCTCTATCTTTTTTCGAATATTTCGAAGCAATAGCTCTTTCTTCTATTAAATTCTTGTCTAAATTTTCTTTATGATCAGGAGCGGGGACTCTACGTCTGAGCAGATCTTCTCAAAGGGGATGACAACCCGACCAGTTAAGAGGAACTCCAAGCTCCGATAATATGTTTCAAATCAAACATCTTTTCTTCAATGAAAGAGCCACACACAATAGACATTTCTCTCCTTTTCAAATTTCAAGATCCGGTGTCTGGCTCTGATACCATTGGTAACCGTTCAAACCCATTGCTAGCAGATATTGTCTGGTTTAGTCCGTTACCTATCGCCGTCAATCTCACAGTTTTAAACCGCGTCTGCTAGAGAGAGATTTTCACACCCTTCTAAGAATGCTTCAATCCCCTCTTTAACCAATGTGGGATCTCACAGTCAGGTGTCTAACTCTAATACCATTTAGAAGAACCCAAACCCACCGGTAGTACATATTGTCTGTTTTGACCGGTTAAGTATAGTCGTCAACCTGACGGTTTTAAAACGCATCTAATAGGAAGAGGTTTCCACACCTTGTAAGAATGATTCAGATCTCATATTCGCAGCCAGGAAGAATAACAAAAATGTAGTGATATATCAAATGTCAAGCATCAAGTTGATATCCATGGCAAACAAATTATCAGACATTCAGCACTTCATCAGTTCTAAGTTCAATCAAGTTTCCTCATATTCAAGTTCCTCCATAAAGAAAAAGCTACGACAAACCTAAATTAAGCAGCAACTTAATTAACAAACAAGAAACAAAGAGAACAATGAACTTAAGATTAATCTCGTACCTCTTACAGACCATAAGCCAACACATCGCAGAATCTCCTGCAAACTCCTCCATTCATAGAAATACTTCCTCACAAATTCTTCCGTCAAAATCTCCCAAAGAATCCCCCAGAGTCACATTTTCCGGCAAATTCCTCGCAGTTCGCACAATCGCTCCGACGACGCCATTCGATATAGCCCTAGAATTCGACCTCACAGAGCCAAATTGCTCCTTGTCTTCGTCGAGATCAATTTCAGCTTCATCTGAAAATTCGTAAATCGGGGGCACGACGACGCATCCATAGGGTAAGACGAGCAAATTAAATCAGTAAAACGAGCTTAGAACTGGGCCTCGTCAGGACGATTAGGGTTACTGGAAGCAGAAATAGAGGCCCGAATTCCGTAAGCCCAATCAGTTCTATCTTTAAGACCGAAGACGTAGACCTCATGTGATTAATTGGTAATGAACTGGGCCTCCCTCATTGACATACAAACGGCCCACTTTTCGTAATGGGCTGCATAAAGAGGCCCATGTACAACATTGAAGCCCAATTTTCTTTTTCTTTTTTTTTTTTTTCTTTTTTTTTTTTTTTTTTT